GCCCCCAGCCGCCATACAGCTCGGGGACGTAACTAAATTGCCCGCAGACCCACGTTGGTCCCTATCAACCGGTCATACCCATCTGACCGTCCGACTACCGAAGGACACCCACACCACAAATGGGTCCCCCGTCCAGATATGTAACCTCTGACAACTGCCTCCAAGGATCCAAACCGCCAAGCCACGGCGGTGACAACTACGCCGAAACACAAACCTTCTCTCAGAGCGGGCGGGTGGGAAGTTCTTCCTCTGTTGCCGGACTCCCAACTGAACTTCCGGACTCCTCCTTCCTGAAGCCCCTCCCGGACGACCCCTTCATCCAATCCCGTAAGTGACCCATCTATAACCTTTTTCTTTTCTCTCCTTAACCCTTCCCTATCATCGTTCCCCTTCACAGCCTTGTCATGCCGGCCCGCCGCTCATTCCTCTGCTATCCATAGCTCCAGGCCTTACTGTCTTCTAAGTGAGGACATAAATGTGTGATCCCATATTAGTTTCTGGTTGATGGGGGGTATTCTGGTCCCTATGGAGGAAGATTTAGAGATCGGGATTCATCTATTATGACTATACAAAAAAATTGTTTGCGCAAGCTAGCCCCTGATGAAGTCTGGCAGGTGAAACGCGTAGGTGTGCAATATTACAGACTGTGTAGTGAGCTCCCAGCTCCCTTGTACACACGAGTGGATGGTCAGTCAGGCTCTGAGGATACATCAGTGTGTTGCGTGCCCTGGGTGCAGCTTTGGAGAACTCTGCTCTGAAATGGTGAATCCGCCCAGCCGCTGAACGTAGCCAGTGATATGAAACAATGTATATCAATCAGGGGCGGAAATACCGCCGGTGGGGCTTGAGACTGTGGGGGGGCCCATGAGATCCGGTCGTGGGCACCCCCCCTCCCCCGGAATATGGGGCAGTGCAGGCTCCCAGGGTTAGAACACCGGGGCTCGCACTGCCGACTGGCGTCTCAGTAGGGGGCGGGTCCTCCTCTCCCGGCCACGTCCCTAATAACAGGCGGCGGGAGAGGAAAAGTGTGTGTGTCACACACCCCGCCCCCTACAGTCTGGCTCTGATCCTGTGCTGCCTGGCTATATTATAATCTATTTCTCTGATTAAATGATCACATACAGGGCCTCTGTTCTATCAAAGTTTGTGACCGCTCATGTGGTCGCAGATTTTAATGTAATCCCGCCCATTTTTTTCAGCGGTGGAATGTATGACCGCCAATAGGTTAAGCAGTGTGACCGCCAATAGGTCAAGAAGTGACATTTTAGGACCGATCAGCTGTTCCAGGGCAGATCGGTTCTCCTGCACATACCATCTGCGATGCCGATCTGCCCTGGAACAGCTGACAAAGCGTTGGAATGCTTCACCTATTGGCGGTCACACATTCCACCGCCAAAAAACTGGGCGGGATTACGTTAAAACGTGTGACTACGTGGCCAGTCACACATTGTAACGTAGTCACCAACTTTGATAGAACACCGCCATCAGGGGGGTATGGCCGGTACCCATGTGAGGGGCCTGGGGGGCCACTTTATCAGCTGTACCAGGGGCAGCATGGCAGAGGGGGTGGAGGAGGCCAGGCCCCAGCAGCAGCAGGTAAGAAGAACCTCGTCTCCGGCTCTGATACCAGGAAATTGCTGCGTTTCGTAGTCAGGTGTTGGTTTCGGTGTTTGTTTTCTGGGTCTATATGGGGAGGGCGTGTGTATCATTGTGCGTATGCATCATTGTGCGTATGTATCATTGTGTGACCAATGCAGAGTGAAAGACGCCTTTATGTCTTTCTGGTATTTGGAGGTTACGTTTCCGAGCTGGCCCCGCCCCTTTATTTCTATATTAGGAGTGTAGATAAATTGGGAGGCGGAGACTGTGAATATCAAACATTCATTGTGCTCCCTCTCAGCACGTTTCGTTGACTTTTTCTTTTGTGGATATCACTAAAGTGTACCTGTCATAGGAGGGCCGCCATTTGTAAAAAGAATACAAGTTCCCAGGTTGTTATGGAGCTTCAATCTGCAGTACAGAGAAGTCAGAGCTCCGTATGAGCATACGCGTTCCATTTCAGGGACACAGAACGGTGAAGACAGTTGGAAGTTGGCCCAGCAGCCAGGCAATTTGTACTTCCAGAGGGGGGGGGGGGGGGGGCGGCGGGGGGCGGGGCTGCCCCTTCTACGGGACACAGAAGCGATCTGAGCCGGGGTCCAGACATTCTCAGGACAGGTTACCTATAGGCACAGAGCTGCAAGGAGTTCAGGGGATGGAGGCCGTCAGGGAAGGGGTTAATAGCCGGGATTACTAATGTGCACAGAAGCAATTAAGTGCATTGTGTGCGGCAGCTTTGTGCATGTCATGTGTGTGAGCTGTGTGTGTTCTCACTGGTTGCCAGGTACCCATAGTGTTGGCGGTCAGAATCACTCAAGATCTGTCCCTGCCTGACCTCTCTCTGAACTCCCAACTCACCCAACCGGTCTGCACTCACAACCATGGCTTTGGTCTTCTGCAACCAGTGACAGGCCAAAGACATTGTCATGGGCAGATGAGGCAGTCATAGGTTTATGGGGGTGTCATAGGTAGATGGGGGGTGTTATGGATAGATGGGGGTGTTAAGTGTCATGGGTAGATGGGGGTGTCATGGGTAGATGGGGGTGTCATGGGTAGATGGGGGTGTCATGGGTAGATGGGGGTGTCATGGGTAGATGGGGGTGTCATGGGTAGATGGGGGTGTCATGGGTAGATGGGGGTGTCATGGGTAGATGGGGGTGTCATGGGTAGATGGGGGTGTCATGGGTAGATGGGGGTGTCATGGGTAGATGGGGGTGTCATGGGTAGATGGGGGTGTCATGGGTAGATGGGGGTGTCATGGGTAGATGGGGGTGTCATGGGTAGATGGGGGTGTCATGGGTAGATGGGGGTGTCATGAGTAGATGGGGGTACTCCGGGACACATTGTTGCTTTGTGTCACTTGTACACTCGCATGTGATAAACACCTCCCTCCTAGTTGCAATGCTTGAAACTCCTCCCCCTCCATTCCATATTGCCTAAAACGCCTGCCCCTCCAGTGTCTAAAAGTACTCCCTCCCCATCCCCCAGTACCTGAAACACCCCCATCCACTCCCCCAGTGCTGGAGACCCCCCCAGTCCTCAGTGTTCATTCCCACCAGCCTGATTTCGGGGGTTCAGGGGGTTGTGGAGATAATATGAAGACAGATTTCAGGTCTATGTACTAAACTTTATTTTTTTACATTAACAGGTCTACAGAGAGAAATGTCACCAAAACAAAGGGGGGGGGGGG